GAATTTTGAAAGGTGCGTAGTGGGGCCTCTGTCCTCGGTGCTGATCAGTTCACCAAGAATTAGTCTTTTCTTTCTTTTTGTCTTCTAGGAGTAATGGAGTCCAAAGAGGAGCAAGTGGTAAAAAATCTCAAGAAGGAAAGTGCCCAACAGGAAAATGAAGGCGGGGAGCAGGCCCCCGTGCAGAATGAAGAGGAATCCCGCCATTTGGGAGGGAGAGAAGGCCAGAAGCCTGGAGGAAATGTCAGACGGGGGCGGGTTAGGCGACTTGTCCCTAATTTTCGATGGGCCATACCTAATAGGCATGTTGATCACAATGAAATGGGAGATGATGTAGAAAGGTTTGTAGGGCAGATGATGGAAATCAAGAGGAAGACTAGGGAGCAACAGATGAGGCATTATATGCGCTTCCAAACTCCTGAACCTGACAATCATTATGACTTTTGCCTTATACCTTGAATCCTGAGGTTTTTCCTGAGATTGATAAAGTGGCCATCACTCTACAAGCTTGTTTTTTTGTGATTTACTTTTTCTGTATTCCTTTTGGTGTTCCCACTTGTCAGTTTCTAATTGAATATTGTTTTGTCTTGGTCTAAAAGATTCTGTCAGCATGGCAATTTCATCCAATATAAGAAAAAATTTTCATTTCATAATTTGAAGTTAATAAAGCATTTTAAAAAGCAATCTATATTCCATCATCTTCTTCCACCTTAGTTCTTATTTTTTGTTAATGTTACCTTTCCTCTCCAAGTACCTGGACTTAAAATCTCAGTTGTGTTTGACAATTATTATTATTTTTTTTGTCGCCAGCCAATCAGTAAGGAATAATTGTACCAATAATTATACATCTGATATTTTAAGAATTATGTCCTAGTGTTTTTCAAAGTGTGCGCACACCTTCTGTGTAAAAACGCCATGAGGGGAGGAGGGTTTGAGAATATAGTACCTCTGGCCCTTATTCTCCAAACCCCTGAGTGGGGCTCTGAAATCTTCATTTTTAACAAAGTCTTTAAGTAATCCTGATGTACTCCACACCAGTGCCACTGGTGTGTGTGTATGTATCTATATACATATGTGTATATTGTGTTATATTAGGTGTAGAAAATAAAGAATAACAGGATGAATATCTGAATTCAGTGGGCAAAATATTCAAAAGGGAAACTATGAGATGTTAAAATAGACTGATTACAGTAGTGAAAGGGGTGGTGGCAAACTGGAGGACAAACAAAGCATGCCTGAAGGTTACAACATTCACCCTGAGGGACCCACTTCCCCTGTCAACACTTTAAAATCCAGGATCTCATTTTATCCTTATCACAACCTGAAAGGTCTGTATTGTTATCCTGCCTTTACAGAGGAGGGCACTGGAGTTTAAAGATGCTAGATACCAGGGCTATTCCCTGCTGCATATCTTGGGGAATGGGTGGGTTCGACCTGGGCCATTTCCTATAGGACCTTGTCATCTGGAGATGCAGAATATTTCACTTCCATAATGGGTGGTAAGCTGAGGGAGGTCAAAGACTCAGCAAGAATGGGGCTGGTTTTCTATACATTGCATTTCTGGGTCTCCAATAAAGACATTTTAATTTTTAGAATATTGGGGCATAAAAAAACTTAAGACCCTCCAGTCCAGTGTTCAAAGTAAGGATTGCTGCCCATTATGGCTCTTGAAATAAGTTTTGTGGTCAAAACAAGCAATTAAAAAAGAATAGAAAAAAAAAACTCAGAGTCCATCACCAATGAGTAATGTTAAAAGTTGTTTTGAGAAACTTGTTTTAGTTTTATGTGTAGGAAATATCACCTTTAAAATGTACTTTTAACTGCAAGTCATCACAGGAAAACAGCCACATCTTCAGTCCAAACTTGATTTCACAGATGAGGAAACTGGGTAGGAAAATGATTTTCCTAAAGTCACACAGCCAGTTAGCAGAAGAGCTGTGACCACATACCTGGTCTCCCAATTCTCTTGCTTGTCTTCTCACCATAGTGCCTCCATAGAGCATTATTTGGAAATTTTTGCAGTATATCCTGATTGCCAGTCAATATGTATGAGCAAACATGTACAACTTATACAAAATCACTGTTTATCTCATGTTCACAGTTTATTCATTAGAGTCCCTGCATGTCTGACTGAGAAATACATTTGAGGAGAACTCTGTGCTTCATAAAATTTTGGAGCTGGAATGATCTCTCACCTTCTGTCTAGAGGATGAAGAGTCTCATTTGAAAATGCATGGTGGTGAACTCATACGCACTTCATAAACGCTAGCCAATTGAGTGAAGAAATGAATGACCTTTTTAGTACTTCTGAAATTCAAACCGTGTGTTCTGGCAACCACCAATTCTAGTTTTACCAGGATAGCATGGACTTAAAAAAAAAAAAAAAGAAAGAAAGCTGCTGAAGGTGTGGGATGGGATCAGAACATGATTAGCTGAAAACTGAAACCTCTTCAGCAGGGTTTTTTGGGGAAGGTGAGGGATGAAGACAGACTTTCTGGAAGAAGTAAGGGTCAATGTTTGGGTTCAGAATATGGTTTTTTGAAGTATTGAAATAAGTCCCATCTCCTTGGTGTTTCTGGAAGAGAGATGATAAGGACAAAGCTTTCTGGAAGTGGTAAAGGTCAGGAAATAGGTTCATAATGTGATTGGCTGAAGGAGAACCAAATTAAGACCCTTCTGGGAATTTCTGTGATGATGGCAGATGAGCACTGAACTTTCCAAAAGAAGTAAAGTTGAGGACCGTGATCAGAACACGATTGTTTGACAGAGAATTGAAGGAATATCCCTTCTGGGTGTTTCTGCAAGTTTGGAAGAGTGAGAACAGAATTTTCTGGGAAAAGTAAAAGGGGGCTGTGCCAGAAGAACTGAGGTATCGCAGTGAGCACTTTAAATAACTTATGCATTGCATTGGAGGGTCAACTTTCCCTGATCTTGGCGGGCAATACATTTGCCTTTTTAAGGTGATGACAGAGAGATATTAGTGAGTGTCTCTAAAGAAAATAATATGAACCTTTTATAAAAACCAACACAAATGAATAGACTGTTAAATTTTTAAAAATTATACAGACAAATCTCAAAAAGTTTTATTTGGGAATAGGTCATTGCAATGGGAATAGACATGCCATAGTAAACTATGTACATGTTCAGGGAGGTAAAGGAAGACAAAGGGTTTAAAGGAAAAGTGATGGAGGATTACATAATTATTTAGGATAATTATCCTCGGCTACAAGAATGAATAACAAGGGTGACACCAGTTTGAGGTTGAACAGGTTGCTGGGCAGATTTCCTCACCAAAGTATTTTATTTATTTATTTTTTTGTATAAGGTTGTGTTGGCCTTTGTGCAAGGTTGTAGTTTTGCAGAGTTCTTTGTAATCATTTTTGTTATCAGGCATTCATTCATGAGAATCTTCCCTTCATGGCCTTCCCTGGCTCTACTTGACGGGGTGGGTTTTTTTGTTTGTTTGTTTTGGGTTTTTTTTGACACAAGTGACTTCTTTTTTATTCTGACAACTTTTAGAAAAATCAAGAACCAAGAAAAGGGACTATCACATTCATCTCTATCAGTTATTTATACCTTGATGTTTGTATATTTTTAGTTTCTTGAGGAAAATATGTATTTTTTTATAGATATTGGAGCAAAGCTTGGGATAGAAGCCTGGTAATTCAGGAGAGAAGGGATGAGTAGACCTCTGAGAAGAGGAGAGTCAGCATTATCATACATAGTAGCATATGCTGCTGTCTTCAAATTACAGAAAATGAAGACATCACTGAGGTAGTCTTTGAAAGGCCAGTACTATGGACTGAAAGCTTGTGTCCCCTCCCCCCTAAATCAATGTGTTGAAATCTTAACCCCCAAGGAGGTGGTATAAATAGGTGGGACCTTTGGGAGGTGATTAGGTCATGAGGGCAGAGCTCTCCTGAATGGGATTAATACCTGTATAAAAGAGACCCCGGATAGTTCCCTCACCCCTTCTATGAACCAAGAAGTGGGCCCTCATCAGACACTGAATCTGCTGGTGCCTTGAACTTGGACTTCTCAGTCTCCAGAATTGTAAGAAATTGATTTCTGTTGTTTATAAGCCACCCAGTATACAGTATTTTGGCCCAAATGGGCCAGTACACCCAGCAAGGAAAAAGTGAACTTATAATGAAAAAAGCAAAAACAAATAACCCAACTAAATATCATAAGAACAAAACACCAAAACTTGTTACCACTTCCAGTCCTTTCAGTTTGTATCTACACAAGAGTAATTATGTTATCTTTACTGGGGTATAATTAAAGTTTAAAAAGATATTTGAAGTATTCAATTTAATCCATTTTACATGTATTTAAACCTATGAAACCAAGACCACAATCAAAACAGCAAAACTAAAAAAAAAAAAACAAAACACCTTCATCATTTCCAAAAGTGTTTTTCACATTTGTAATACAGCCCTCCCTCCACCCCCACTGCCACGAAACCTCTGATCTGCTTTCTGTCACTATAGTTTGCATTTAATCGTATTTTTTAATATCAATTGGATCATAGAGTATGTATCATCTTCTATTTCTATCTGGCTTCATTCATTAAGCATAATGATTTTGGATGTAGTAATAGCATATTCCTTTCTATTGCTGAGTAGTATTCTATGGTATGATATTCACTTATCTGTTGATGTACCTTTAAGTACATTCCAATTTTTGGCTATTACAAGTAAAGCTAATATGAATATACACATACAAATTTTCGTGTGGTCATATGTTTTCATTTTTCTTGGGTACATACTTAGGAATGGAATGGTTACATTGCGTGGAAGTTATATGTTTAATTTTTCAGAAACTGCCAAATTGTTTTCCAAGGTAAATTGTTTACCATTTTATATTCCCATAAGTAGAGGAAGGAACTTCCAATTTCTCCACATCCTCACCAACACTGAATATGGTCAGGTTATTTTTGTTAATATTTAAAAATTTTAACCATTCTAAAGGGTGTGTAGTGATATCTTGTGGTTTTACCTTTCATTTCTCCAGTGACAAATGATGTTCAGCATCTTTTTGTGCACTTATTAGACATTCATATCTTTTAAAAAATCTCCTCAGATAGTTTGCTCATTTTTAATTGGGTACCATTCTTACTGAGTTGTGAGAGTTCTTTACAAATTCTAGATTCAAGTTTTTTGTCTAATACATATGTTGCGAATTTTCTTATGTCTTGGTTTGACTTTTCATTTATGTAATGGTTTCTTTCAAGAACAAAAGTTTAAAATTTTTAATGAAGTTCATTTTTTCTACTTTTTCTACTATAACTGTGTTCTATCTAAGAAATGTGCTGCCTAATCCAAGGCTATGAAGATTTTCTCCTATTTATTTTTCTAAAATTTTATAGTTTTACGCTTTCCATTTTGGTCTATGAACCATTTGAAGTTCATTTTTGTGTATGATATACATTAAACTTTGGTGTTTATTTTGTTTCATATGAATATTCAACTGATACATCACCATTTCTTGAAAAGACTTTCCTTTCTTCATTGTCTTTGCACCTTTGTCAGAAATCAAGTACTCATATATATGTAGATCTATTTCTGCACTGCCTATTCTGTTTCATTTATCTGTATCTTTTCGCCAATACCAAACTGTCTTGATTACTGTAGCCTTACAGTAAATCTTGAAATCAAGTAGGGCAAGTCCTGCAAATTTGTTCT